TATAAGTAGTGTAAGTAGTGATAATAGCTATGAACTCACACTTTTCAGTTTCTAACATGTATATCTTTCTTTGATATATATGATAATATATTTTTTCTTCTTTTGTTATCAAAAATTACTGTCACATATATCATGATGCATACAATAAAAGTATATTATTCTGTTTCTTTTTCTTATTACTACTTTCATTACTATTTTATTACATTACATATTATTATTATAGTAATAGTAATAATAATAGTAATAATATGAAGTATCCTATAATGGAAATCATAACAAAATAGCGATGGGAGGAAAATCTCTTAGATAATGTGGAAACGAATGATATTTATTAAAAATAATATATAATATATGTGTTCACTAATTATTAATTTTGAAACGATAATCGATAAAGGTATATACTTTATGTGCATTATTTATGCCAATGTGTCATCAAACGAAATTATATTGTTGCTGTGTCCTATATCTATCACAGAACACCGCGAAATTAGCCATCAGTAGAAGAAATAAATATAAGAGAGATTGGATAGTAATAGCTTATTAAATTATCAAATAGAGGAAAAAGAGTAAATTAATTCATTATTTTCGTTTATATCGATACAATAAAAAAAAAACCATTGGAATCATTTAGTCTCGAATTCAAGATTTCCTGAATTATGAATCTGGATATGCTTGCCAATGTGCTATACATTGTTTATATTATCTCTATCTTTTTAGTCTATAAAATCCAAAAGGAACCATGAATTATTCAAAAATTTAACAATATTTTAGAAATTCAGATCCCTTAATATAAACGATACGTATTTCCTTATCTTTATTCATTAAATTTCATTACAATGATCGACTGAATTTCCATAACTTCTCCGTGCGAGCATCGTGAAACACATTTCTTTCCGTTTGAAAATATTCAAAAAATTTGAGCATTAGCTATTTACGCCCATAATCTAGCAAGCAAGTGCTACTTCACAGACATAAAACATATATCATTCAAGTATTTATATAAAAATCAATAGTGGGAGTACGAGCTTCATTTCTTTTGCCGCAAATTTCGAAGGACACCGCAATACTAAACTTTTTCTTCGCGAAAAATGTCGGAAACAGCATTTACACCATCAATGAGAACAGAAGTAATTGTTGACAAATATTAATCAACAAGATCTCATTGTGAAGACGAAGGTTTAATCTACCGCGTATTAGTTTCGAATTTCTAAAAAAGTTTTTATTGGTGCATAAACTATTCTCAAAAGAATATCATTTTTTAACATAATTTTTTCGAAGAAAATAAAGCTTTTTCAAAACTCCGCAAAAACAGCGCCGTTAATTAACCTTTCTTCTTTAAAATAAGAGCTTATTCATTAAAATTGGTCAAGAATTACGGCTGTTTTCATTGATGACGTAAACCATTAAAAAACTTGGGGTAGTGAACAACCTTAACTAAAACTTTTTCATCTATAAGGGATTTAGGAAGTATTAAATACTGTTTAGGAATTAGGTTTTCAGTAAATAAAGGAAGTATAAAGTTAAGTCGAAGAATATATATCAGGAAGCTACTCGAAAAATTCAAAATAAGTGATGCCAATCCAGTTATTCTGCATTAATAAAAGAGAATTATAAAATTGAGGATAAGCAGTGTTCATATCGCGAACTAAAGCAGCTTAATGTACCTAGCGATTGTATCTATACCTGACATAAGTTGGTCCCTAAGTTATTCGATCAATTTAATCATTGTTATGGTAAAGTTCACCGGGAAGCAGCAAAAAAGATACTAAAGTATATTAAAGGAATTGACCATTATTGTTTAACGTATCAACCATTTTAGGAGGTTTTTTAGGAGTTTTTACAGATGCTGATTGTTATAAATACAGTTGTCCTGTCTATTATAAAAACAGAATACGTTACGGATGCAATGAAGAAGATCATATACTTAATCGATACCTTTTCGGAATTTAGAGTACAAATTCAGAATACGGAGAATTTATAGTACAAAAAAAAAGTCAGTACATTAAAATTAACCGGAAATCGGATATATTATACCAGAAAAAACATTAAAATCCGACACCATTTCATATGGGCATACAGGAATAAATTTCAGTTAAAGTATATATGCACGAATGACTTAGTCGTGGATGTATTGACTAAGACTTTAAATGATTCAAAACACTTTAAATGTAACAAATACTTAAGTTTAATTTGTTAAGCTTTCTTTAAATATATGAGGAAGTGTTGAATCTATTAAATTAAAAAAAAAAGATTAAGGAAAGATCAGCCAGATAGCGTTAATACTAGAGTATAGATTTGTTGATATAATTTCGATAAAATATGATTTTAGGTTCTTTTGTTTTTGGGGAATGATACATTTTCTTTATCCGGCTCTGCTCATTATTCTTTCTTCTTTCTTAGCACTCTCGACGCTTCTCTCATGCGATAAAGACATTTAAGTTTTCTTTTTATAGTTATACAGTGTATTATATTTTATATAAAGTTTTTATATTTTATTCTTGTTAATAGTTTAGTAAAATATTACTATCGAATCTCTTATATTTAATTCTTTCACTAATGATTGGCGTAAATATACATTTGTTGATTTTTTTTTTAAATAATAATTAGTGAACATATATTTATATATTATATATTATTTTTATAAAGATCAAAACAAGAGTTCGTTTCCATATTAGTTAGGTTTTTCTTCCAGCGCTATTTTTTAATGATTTCCTCTTAGGAGTAATACACTTTATATTACTACTATTATTACTACTAATACTATAATAATAACATAAATATATATTACATAATATAATAGTATAATAAGTATATATATATATATATATATATATATATATATATATCGTCGTGAAGCTGCAACTATGAGAGCATTTCCAGATACGCGTCTCGCACCGAATCAGCGATGATAGTTATTTTGCACGGAGAATTTCCCCGTCTCTACCTTGTGGTCAGAGTTATAGACTCCACTGGTCGCAATGAATAAGGGTGGCGGCACTATGCTAGAATACCGTAGTAATAGGAAACAACGAGTCTAGAGAAGACACTTAGATAAAGACTTCCCAACGAAAAGAAGTGATCCAAAATGCTGAAGAACGGGGACACTTTGCGGCAAAATGTTCAAAACTGAGAGATATGAAATACCGATATTGCAATGCAGGTAATGCATAAGAAGTGTAGTTGTAAAATCGTCCTATTAACTATTTGTTATTTCATTGCCTCTCTCACTCACACTGCACTTCCATTTCATTCTCATTCCCAATATCTCAACCCTTCCATAAACAAACGTACTTCACAAAGAACTGATCATATTTTCATTCAATCATCGACCGACTTGTCTCATACATATGCGCACACACCTAACTAACTCTAAAACCTTCCATCTTTTGTTTAACTGTCGATCGATTTATTTCATGCATACATAAACACATAACTGATACTATAATCTTCCATCCCATATATATATCCCATATTCCAATTGAGAAATATCGTATGTTAATAGAAAATGCAATCAAGGATTATCAACCTCATAAGACTAGAGAGACGAAAGTTGAAATAATAATAATTTTAAAAAACGAAAAACCGATGTATTAGAGGGCTAGATTGTTTACCGACGGAAAGAGAACAGGTCAATAGGGATGCTAGCGAGTGGCTTCAAGATAGTATTATGCAGCCTTCCCTTTCAGATTACCCGAATCTGAATCCCGTAATGTTGGTGGAAAAGAAAAACAGTGGCACGAGATTAATAGAGATTACCGACAATTAAACAAAAAAGATGTGCAAGATAGATACTCACTTCCATTCATTGAAAACCAGTTAGATCTTCTACAAAAAACTAGATTTTTAAAGATTTTGTTAAATTAAAAAAATGGGTTTTTTTCATAAATAGTTTTTTTAAAAATAGCAGAAAATAAATAGCTTTTATAGTACCCGATAGCCATTGGGAATTTTGCAAAGTATCATTTGGCTTGTGACATTCATCTTCGATTTTTCAATGATTTACAAACGAAACTTTTAGAAGAAAAATACGTGATAAAATAGTTCTAACTTATTGAGATAATCTGATAATCCCTTCCACTAATGAAGCCACAGGAATACAATACCTTGATAAAGTATTTAGAGATGCGAGTGGACCAAGACTGATAGTAAATTGGGGAAAATGTTATTTTTTACAAAATCAAGTATAATTCTTTGGTCATACTATCGAGAATGGTCAAGTTTATCCATTCATATCCTAAAATCGAAGCAATGTATAAATTCCCGTATCCATTAATGAGAAGCAGGATCAAGGTTTTCTCAGCTTGTGTAATTATTTTAGAAAATTCGTATGGAAGTACTCTATTATAACGCGTCCATTCACAAATTTATTGAGAGCTGTTAGAGTTCAATTTGAAGATAAATAGAAAAAGCGCTTATCCGATTGAAAGAGATATGTACTATGCAACAAACCCGTATTAATGTTATATAATGGGTTGTTCGGAAAGTAATTTCGTTTTTTTTTTGTGAAAATGAAAGACAATTTTCGTATAATGAACAAATATTTTATTAAATTATATATTGGCCATTTTGGTCCATCTTTTGCCATCTTTCTGGTAGTAGCATGATTCCACGCTCATAAAATTTTTGGACTTTGCTGGCAAAAAACTAATCGAGGTGGTTTTTGACCTCCTCTTTTGAAGTGAAGGTTTTATCGTCTAAAAAATTTTGCAATAACTGGAACAAATAATAATCCGAAGGTGCCAGATCTGGAGAATATGGTGGATGTGGCATTGTATCTCATTCAAGCTATAAAAGCTTTTGACAAGAGACCAAACTTGTATAAGGTCTTCCATTATCTTAGTGGAACACTACACCTTTTCTGTTGATTAATTCTGGCGTTTTCTGTTGAAGTGCATCATTCAGTTTGTCCAGCTGATGACAGTAGACTTCCGAATTAATTGTTGTGTTATCCGAAAAATCTCAAAAAAAAATCATTCCTTTAAAATCCCACCAAACAGACATCACCTTTTTTGATGGATATTGGCTTTGGAAATGCTTTGAGCCGGTTCATCTTTTCTGCTCCATGATCTCTTGCGTTTGACATTGTTATATACAACCCATTTTTCGTCCTCAGTAATGATGCGCTTCAAAAATGGATCATTTTCGTGACGTTTGAGAAGCGAATCACAGACGTCAACGCGACAACACAAATTTCTCTCCGTGAGAACATGAGGAACCCATATATCGAGCTTCGAACCCAGGCCTTTCAAGTGGTCATAAACAGTTGAATTTGATAAATTTAACTTCTCATCGATCTCACGTGTTGTTATTCGCCGGTTTGCATCAACTAATGCCTTTATCGTGTCTTTATCAGCTTCAACCGGCCTTCCAGATCATGATGCATCTTCGACATCAAAATTACCAGATCGAAATTTTGCAAACCAGTTCTAGCACTGGCGTACTGTCAACACATCTTCTCCATACACATCGGTTCATTTCTGTCTGGCTTGAACAGCATTTTTACCTTTTCTATAGTAAAAAAGTAAGATATGACGAAAATGCTTCTTATTGCTCTCCATATTTAACCACCAACCAAAATTTGATTCTATGCAGCAGAATCAATCGGACTTTTTCACACACAAGCCTTGCTATATCAGCTCTCAAAACATATAATGATTATGCGGCTTAAGTGTGAAGTTGGGTGCAAAAAAATATAATTAAATCCTCTGTTGGGAAAAAAAAGAAATTACTTTCCGGACAACCCAATAGAATAGTTACGGAAACAGAATTACACATAAATGTGTCGGCGGATGGATACAGTGCAATTTTATTACAAAAGTGTAATCAGATCGAGCCTTTCAGGCTGTATATTATATGAGTGATAAAACTACCCCGAAGATTAAGCAATCGCAACAGGAAAATAGGAATGTGAGAAAAATATTTAACGCGGTAAAAAGGCCTCTTGATGGTTACGTCATAAACGATATATTGCTTAAAATTCATAATGGAGACACTTTGTATTAGTATATCCTAAACTAATGTGTACACAAATTATTAAAGCAACACATGATAAAGGTTATTTTCCTATAGCGGAAAAAGCGATAAAAAATTGTGTATCTTGTATATTAGTCATTAGAAAATAGAAACTTATTATATAGATCATTTAGGACCTTTACATTTTACAAAGAACTATAAATACATTTTTGATAAAATTCGTATTGTTGTATGTTATAAAAAGTACTAACACAGTTGATGTCATTAAAAAACTAGAAAAACAGTCATAAGTTTTTAGAAATCCGGAATATCAGATTGGATTTTGGAATATCGAATCGCGAAGTGGCGTTTACATCAAAGCTCATCAATTATTGCGTGCAAGAATAAATAAAATATATACTAAAAATTATAAAAATTCTTAGAGCGGACGGGCAAATTGAGCGATTAAAAAGAATATTGATATTCTTGTTAACTAAACTATCAGACTAGACGCGAGGAATGGTTTAAATTTCTAAATATATCTCAATTCTATATATTGTGTATCATATATGTAGAAGTATAAACATCTGCTAACGAGATGTGTGATATAAAGCACTTCGTGAATTAAAAAGTTTATAACCATATTTGACAGATTGAGTTACAGTTGTTTCGAAATATTTGTGTACCATTATTTGTGCTGCCAAGTATTAAATTAGAGCAATAACGAATATTACGAATAAAACTAGAGGATAGTTTAAATGAAATGTAAACGAAGACGAAAGGGAAAGAGTAATGATGCTTATTGGTCGTGGGCGTGTCAAGATAGTTCGTTTAAAATATTTAGACAATTCCATGTCGATCTCTCGCTTCAAAGTGACAACACTACTTAATGAGTGACACATTGCTCTAGACAAATTCATGGCTCATTCTGTCTCAAAGTCTATTTCTTATTTTAAATCTATTTAAAGTCTTATTAAAGTCTTATTAAGTCTATTACTTTGTTTATCGCAATGACAACAATTAGAAAGTAGAACTAATCATTCTAACTGTTCCTTATTTTTACATGAGAGATTATAAGCACGTGCATAAATGAAAACGCAGAAAGGATAGGAATAGGGGAAAAACGGAATTAGTTTATTAGAAGCTGGAAATCCTGATTTAAAAATTGATTAATTTATTCTAAAACCTACAACGTATGATTCTATAAACTGTTAACCCACACATGCGTATGTGAATCTCAGCGATTCACAGTTTCTCTTAAGAGCCATATGTCACTATAAAAAAAATATATATTTATCCTTGAGAATTCATTGAACACTCTTTAAGAAAATGCATAGATAAAAAATACACAACCAACATTGTTCAATCTTAGGCATTTTGAGTTTAGCACATAGGTTTCAAAAATGTTGACGCACACGTATGCACACTCAACAATTCACAGTACTTTCTCTTAAGGGCTACATATCATTATTAAAAATATCTGCCGTTAGAAATTTGTTGAATAATTGCCAAGAAAACGCGTAGATAAATATTGCCAACTTTGTTCGAGCTTAGGAATTTTTAATTAAACATGTAGTCTTTAATAATGTATCGTGCCGAGCAATAAACAACGAAAGAAGATATCTAGACAAAACGAGCCGTGGGTTTGTCTGGCGCCTACCTTTCAAATATCAATGCAACATTCATAAGTCCATACGATCATCAGAACAAAGGATGTCACACGAAATTATTTAAACTTTTCGAACGAATTATTTTGACACACTCACAACTAATAAGCATCTTTCCTTCCCTGTCCATGCACGCTTTATTTGAATTTTTCCCTTTCCCATTTTCTTTCTTAATTTCATTATCGTTTCTGCAAATAGTTCGAACAAAATCATCAAGGAGTCAATATAACTATTAAATAATGATGAATTATTAATAGAAATATCATTCAAAAACGATTGAAGTGCCGATATCGTAGAAATAAAATCAAAAAATTCGAAACAAGATATGAGGCAATAGTTAATTATGTTTTCGCGAATATTTTTTAAATGCGACAATATGTCGACTTGGGGAATATTCACACGTGGAAATATTCGACAATCGATTGATATATTGAAAGAAAAAACATTAGAAAAATATACTAATTAACGAAATTTAATGGCATACATATTTAGTCTGATAGTCACTGAATATAAAATGGTGCTGTGCTTCACCGACTAAGTCAAATAATCACCCCACTCATGCTCACTAGACCACATTAAGTACATTATTGGTCAATGCGTAAATTCTCGATCTAATACTCGAAACTATAAAACATAAAATGATTACAATTGTTATATGATATACGAATGTTTGAAAAATGCTAATATAAAAAGAAGCCTGAATTTGATATATGAAGGAAAACAATGCATTATGCATGAAAAGAAAATACTTTAGAAATATAATGAAAACTAACAATCTAAGCTTTATTATAAACTCTTCTTACCAAGTCTTATAAATCAAAAAAAAAATCAAATAGTCAAAAAATCAAAAAAAAAATCAAAATAGAAAGAAAACTAGAAGAAATGAAATTAGAAGTAGAGTTAATAGTTATGGAGAATCATTATTCCACAAAAGTTTATAATAATAGAGTTTGCACTAAATTATATCTTACCTTGAATTTCTAAGAGGAAATAACGTACGTGCTTACAGAAGACCATAATCGAAAGGAGACGCTGAAACAGGAAGAGGACATCACAGGAGATAAGGTTTGTAAGAAGGGTTGTATATAATTGGATGAGTGGATCACGTGAATAATGCGATTGATCAGGATTGGAGAAAGAACAAAGAAAATTTGATAATGGATGTTTCAAAGAAATTAGAAAGGGATAAAGAAACAAGTAAAAAGAATAAATTAAAGAGAGAGAGAGAGAGAGAGAGAGAGAGAGAAAGAGAAAGAGAGAGAGAGAGAGAGAGAGCATTATATAATGTTTAAACAAATATGACATTTGTTAAATATTAGTTAATTATACTCGATGTAATTATATTTCATTATACTCCATGTTATATTCCATACATTGTTTAAATGCATGTGAAATAATGGAAAATATATATTATTAAAGCGAACGAATATAAATGGAGAAACAGATTTATACTAATTGAAATACAAAAAATTACCAATTGTCATTTGTTTGCTTTATCGATTATCGTGACGTCATACAAAGCCATTGGTTACGAATATTGATCTTTGTTTCAAATAGATATACTATGTTATCGACAATCGATACAATTACATTACATTATCGATATGAATTTGTCCCCAATTCTATTTCACTAATATTACTGATTATTTTTCGAGAAGATACTTGATGAATTAGAATCACACTCTCGCACGTACAGGTTTTATTGTATTTTTTTCAGAGTTTGTCAAATTCTTGTGCCAACAAACATTGTATATTTATTGAAAAATTAATAAAATATTTTTCTCAAACTAATGTTTTTCACGTGTATTTCCCATCAATTGGTATTATAGAAAAATGTTTATTGAGCATAAAGTTACATATTACAGATGTATTAATAATAATAATAATTATAATAATAGTAATAATAGTAATAATAATAATAATAATAATAATAATAATAATAATAATAATAATAATAATAATAACAATAATAATAATAATAATAATAATAATAATAATAATAATAATAATAATAATAATAATAATAATATTAATAATAATAATAATAATAATAATAATAATAATAATAATAATAATAATAATAATAATAATAATAATAATAATAATAATAATAATCGCAAAGAGAATGCTAATGATATACTTTTCAGCAGATTAACCTATCTGAAAAATTACATTTAAAGATCCTTTTACAAACTTTAGATTTGTATTGGCTTGACTAGCATAATTAGAAGCATTGACATTATAGTTAATCATATTAAGAAAACGAATAAAAGCACGTCTATGCAACGAATATTTATCATACATGTCTTAAATATACACGAATATACACGTATAACGTGTATAAACGAATATATATACATATACATGTATTAAAAACGCTTTTAATAAATTAGATGAGAAAAAATGTACATATAATTACTAATATTATGTATATCGAGTGCTATCTCTGAGTACAGGATAATAAGTGCTCCACTGATTCGTACAAGATTCGTTATTAAGTAATGCTTTTAAATTTTGAATATCGGTGATTTCGCGATACACATTTTTATAATCTTATTTTTCATTTAATAGTAATTATATTTGAAATGCACATCGTCTTCTGTTATTAATGTTGTTTGCACGTCAAGTCTTAATAACATCGCACAGCCTATAATCGATGCCCAAATCAGTCGAGCAAATTCTAAAAAAAAAATGTATATTTAAAAAAACATTCGAAAAATGTTGAAAAATATGTATACAACTTCCAATAAATATACGAACATTGCCTAAAATACAAATCGCTTATCTAGTATTTCACCATGTGTCATAAAAAGTACTTAAAATAGAGTCTAAACTAGTCTTTTGTGTTCTATTCTATAATTTGTATCAAGAACCTACAGCTTAATCAATTATAGAAAATGTATAGTACTCCCTTTGCAAAGTTGGTTTCGATCATAGAGACCATAGATCTATCGTTGTATCTTTTCTTTTTTTGTTAATTTTATAGCAATCATGACATGTCCTTAATTAATACGCACAATGGCGTACTTTCTATAGGAAAAAGGGAATTAAGTATAATTGATTCTAATTCTACTTTTAATTTATATACGTCGAAATAAATATTTATTTTGGAAAACTAAGTATTTTTTGTTCCATACTCTTCACAATTTTATTACGAATAACATGGCTCTCTTAATTCGAATCCCACTCTGCTCATCTAAAAGAATAAAATCGTATTAATTATTGTAGATGCTTACGAAATATTAAATACTGAATAATATGGTTTTCATTGATACATTGTATATAAAAATGGAGAAGTAGAACATACGCGATATTTAATCTTTATTTTTTGACGTTGATTCGTGAATGATGTTATCATTTTTCGCGTAAAACTTAGTTTTATATAACGCAGTTTGATACAGCAAGCTTTTTTAAAAATAGCACCTGCTTGAAATATTTCCAGGGGTAACCACCTGGTTGTGAATTTTACACATATCTTAACAAGGAAAATATCTTTCAATAAAAATGTTAACAATTAAAAAGAAAAATAAGTCATACTGTCGAATATTTTATCTCTTTATAAGTTTATGAGATATACCATTATTTTAGAATTTTTATGATTAAAAAGTACTAGGAGTACTAGAGTGGCAAGTATTTTGAGGGTAAGATATGAATCTTTATAAAGCATTTTATTGTTCACGTGAAGTTAGATGGGTGCTTTAAAAAGAAATTAATCGTGAAACAATGCCTTCTTGGAATAAAATTGTTGTATGAATAGAATGTAATGAAAAAGATCTCTAAAAAATTCTGATTGAGAGAAAATGTTGTACAGATCTAATAGAACAATGGTACTATTCGCAATAACATGAAATGTATATAAGATACAATCAGTTACATGGATTGACACACCAGTTTCATAGACGTATCTTATTAGATAGTTCAGTCAGAGTAGAATAATTATAGAATGACAATGTGCCACGAACTTACGAACAACACGAGAATGATACAAATCTAATTTAGTTTAATAAAAAATACGCTGTTTCGCGACGTTCAAGAACTGGTTTTCGGCCAGGCTATCTTCGCATCAATTCGTTTATAGGCAAAAAGGCAGTGAGAGAGCTCTTGCGGGCATTCATGATCGCCTAACAGCGTTTCTAAAAAATAAAGTATAATACATGTACATAACGGATACTGTTCATCGCAATCACTAATCAGAGTCTTGCTCTAATACAGTACAAATAATTTAAACAGTATAATACCTTCTCCTTGCACCAATTTGAAAAGACCATAATCCTGAGGGTTGGTGCATCTTATTTTGTGTGCAAGAATGCGGCAAATATCTCTGGTATTCATATTCGGCCGCACTGGTAACGTTCTAGTATTTAAAGAACCATGCAATTCATCTGGTACAAGAATACGTAGAACAGAAGAACAGTCTGGCGTTCCACAGCCCTAAAAAAATAAACATATTTAATATAATTTTTCAATCAAATAAATTGATACTTTTAATGACAGTTTTTTTTAAAACTAAAGTCTAGGTTCCTCACGTTTAATGTAGACATTGTTCCGTGACTGGATTTGAAAGTCTTCAAAACGTGCACCGCACTAGAGAGCGTCGTCAGGTAATAACCACCTTCTCCAGTAAGGAGAGAAGGATGAAGGAGGCCCCACATATACTCGGCTTCAACCTCGGCATCTACGATCTTACCACGAACCAATACCCAGACGAGAAGAGGTAAAAGATCGTCTGCGCCTAGTGTCACGTGCCTTCCGGAATTGGCATGTTTAATCTATGAAAACAATTATAAGATTTAATATTTATAATAATTATATATATTATTTATAATATTATTTATAATATTTATAAAAGTCACCTTGATTTAATTATTTTTCTTATACTTACAGAGTTAAATATTGCAGATATTGCAGCTAATAAATTCTCCAATTTATCCAATGGGGAGTCTGCTTTCTGTAGTCGTTCGAGGTACTTCAATATACGTTCCAGACTTGATTCCGACGGAGGTATAATTTTTGGCTGTTGAATATAATAACAAATTATTTTAACATTCACTCTATAATATAGTAACTACTATAAAAACTATAAGATCTATAAATGATCAATAATCGAAAAATATACTAACTCGAACACCAAGATCTTGAACGTGTTTACCCTGAGCATGTTGAATACTTTCAGCGAGCGTTTGAAGAGAGCCCGTGCTAGCATAATGATCCACGAAGAGCCTATAAACGTGCTCTCTAAGTGGCCGTACAACGAGACTCATCATCACACCTTCCAGAATGGCATCAAGATTCAAAAATTCGTTCGGTTTTAGTTTTAATCTCTCTTTCTCAACTTCCTTCTCAAACTCTCGTTCACCGTGCTTCACCAAATAATTCTTCATTCCTGACATAAATTGTCGCATGTTCCTCATGACCACATGAGGGCTCGCTTCCTTGCCTTCCTTCGTGCATTGAATAAAATTGTCGATATTTTGGGAGAACGTGGTTGTTTTGTCGGCTGCTAATTGAAGGGCGTACGATCTTATCGTTGAACCAGTACCACTTACGTCGCGATTTCTTAAAGCTTGTAATCTCGGTGGTGCTAAAAATTAAAAAATAAAAAACGGATTTAATTTATATATAATACAAAATACATAAATCTCTTAGCTCTAAAAAAATTTCTGTAGTTAATCCTTTGCGAACGGAACGATTCGAAACGGAGGGCTCTGTGAAGAAAAGTCGCTGCAGCAATAAGCATTTATAATTATTAACTCATTCTTGGACACTGTACACTATACTGATTAATTATTCAATGTATAACTGCGTCATTATTGTAATTCATGATTACTATATATTGTATTATATAATATTTTGCTCTTGTTGAGAAAGCGCAAGCTAAAAATTCATCGAATGCATATATAAATATTTCGATCTCATCGATTGATTTCGTCATATGCATAGATACATTGATCGTCCACAAAGAACTGTACATTTTTAAATGATCTCTTAAGATAAATAAAGCTCACTTTTAAGAATATTTACACTTCGTTGGAACTTCCTGTAAAGACAACGAAACCATCTTCTGATCTGGCGGAACATGCTACATGTATTAACGCAAAATTTGGTTTGCTCGTTTTTATTCTCGACGGAAAAATTGAGCATTTTCAATATATCCTTTTACTACCAAGTAAATCACAATATTAATTTCTACCAAAGAGTACAATGTCCATACGAATTTTTTTATTCGATGTCAAAAGTTCATCACTATGATTAAATAAGAGCCTAGGAAATTTCTATTATATTAGCGATACAAAACAGACCTCGTAATCATAAAATCAGAAATCATTTTGGTACTCTATCTATATGCAATAAAAATGGAATATACACAAGATAAATTTTAAAAAATTTGTACATTTTTTCAAACGATGTAATCTTATAAAATATTCCGAATGAGCCAGATTGACTAATCGTATTGACATGACCCGTGGCTCGATTAATAGAACGTGCCTTTGACCGTCGACAAAGGTTTAATGACACTTTATCATTTATAACAGTGAAGAATGTTACGGACAGAGATAATGTTCTTTCTAGAAAGAGAAAGAACGATTCTCAACGTTTTCGTTCCATCAACGAGAAAGTTCAAACACTTGCATACTTTTCTGCGTTTGTTCACCGACACTGATTTCTATACGAATTACTACCGATTTCTTTTCTCGAAAGAATATTTCACTTTTTCATAGAAAGTTTTTGAATTATACCTACACCTTAAGTAAAACGCGGTAAAACATTAAACTCGAATGATTTCACTTATCAAAAGCACTAAAATTACAAATCTTCTTTTACAGAAGAAGATGTTTTTCTTCTTAAAAAGAAAATATCCAAGCTTCGATCTCAATATTGTTATCACCTCGAAGTCGATCGAAGCGATAACAAACACGAGCAACGTCTAATTTTAAGCTTCAACGATTCTTGTTTGATCAGCTGAGGCATAATAAGATCTGGTCGAGTCGTCTTCTCGACTACCTGAAGAAATCCCTACCAACTTCCCTGATGACGCAATAATAAACTTTCTCTATATCATTGAACTCGGTCTTCGCTCGAGGACGGACATTTATCGTTAAGTTTATATAGAATTCAAGCTTTCTTCGTTTAATACTCGATATACTCTAAACACATTTATCTTAGACTTATCGTCATTAATTATACTAATAATTATACCAATAATCTCGCTAATTACTGTTTAAATATTACAGTATTGAATTCGAAAAGGCATCGTCGATGATCTATAAAAAAGTATAATACCGTTTTATAACGTAATCATTTAGATCACTTAGTTAAATTTGCCGTTAATTTCACAATCTGTTCTCTTCTTTGTACAAATAATTACATTCTGTTGATATATTCTTCAAAAATACATTGTTAAATATTAATATAACAAAATCCGAAATTATTCTATAGGAAAGAAGTCTAATCTGAATATTTGCAAGGGCTTTGATTTAAGTTAAATGAAGATGGAAGACTATTTGAAAAGTTTAGGAACATAACGGCGAGACAATAAATAGTCTAGAAACCTGAATCTGAATCGCCTGATTTTTATACGGAAAGAACAATTGTAATTACCGACACATGCAATTCATCCTTGAATGCACATAGACTATCAATGTTATGCACTACGTTATCTTTCTAAAAATGAATTTTCTACAGTGATTAGCACTATCTAATCGCTATTATTATTATTAAAATCTTTTCATCGTGTTATTCAAAATCTAAGCACTAAAAATCAGATAGAATATAATTTCAAAACAAATTTTTCGATATAAAATAATAAAGAATAATATAATAAATTCATTGTTAATGATAACATAGGCTATATCACGAAATAACTTTGTTATTAATTAACGGTTTTATCAATGTAAAACACTTTCTAAAAAATGTTCATTAACTTTAGAATAAATAGCATGTTCACACGCTTGATATTACACAAACATGGATATTACGTTGATTGTTCCAAAAATGATTATTTAGACAATTTATGAGGAGAAATTATCGACTTGAAAGTTTATAGATAAAGTCATGACAGAAGAGAAACAATTTTATTTTACGATAACAAATAAGCAAAAATACTGATCAAAAGTGCGTTCTCTTCGATATACTTTGTTTCTGAACAAGATTTGAACAAATTTTAAAAGTAATTCGAAAATAAATAATTCTTTAAAAATTTTGAAAATCGATCTTCAAAAATAAATCGCTGATACAAGGATATGTACACTTTTTGTCGGAAAAAATATGATTCTTTCACTATTGCTATTCGATTATCCCCCCTCTTCGATATGTTTATTACTCTTCCAGCGATATCAAATGTCATACTTTAGATAAGTAATATACATTCAAAGCCTTTTTCATTTTTAGACGAAACACTAATATTATGATATGACAATGTAATAACAGTAAACAAACATTAGAAAATGTCAGCATGCATGGTAAAACCGAGAATCTACTAAAGAAGAAAAAAAGGGGTTAGAATAAAGGACAATTAAATTGACAATTTTGCATTGTCTTCAATATTTTTACCGATTATAAAATAACTTTACCGGTTATAAAAACAACAATAAAATAAGGAGCTAAAACCTCATTACATACGATACTTGTTATGCAATATATTAATTAATATGTACAAAAGGATTCGATTAGCTAAGTTAACGCGTAAAGTCAATGTTTTCGTATATCTATTTCCGGTTAACTCTTTACGATTGTATTTCTTTTGAGATTACTCTATTGGCCGAAATTACATCCGTTCGTACAACAAGTAATTTATGCTTAATCAATTATTTTTCTGAGCTTTATCTTTTGTTTAAATTTCATATGCACAGCGTATAAGAATATCTATGCAGTACAATAAGATTAGCTGCATTTCTTAAACAACAATCAATTGTCTAATGTTTATTGGTATATGTATGTTCTCTGTTCGACTACAAATATTTAATATTATATAAATAACAAACAGTAAACTCACATAAGAGAGGATCCAGTCTTTCCTTGAAGCTTTTGTTTCTCTTGATTCTCTCTACATCGCTCTCGTCCGTATCTAACATAGTTTCCCATTCGGATGGGTCGTACGTTTGATCCTTTCTCGATTCCGGCGTGTCCTCTCTTTCATTCCTCTTTTCGACATTATCGTACGAGGAGTTCCTGTCGCTATACACCGACTCTGACGTATCCGGTGGTTTTAACAATTCTGGGTACCTAGACAATCATACGATCTTACATTTTATGATACAAGTCTTAACAATATCGTTTTTTCTTTTCCAGAATAATCTCTTACCGTTGCAGAATGATACTCTGAACGGTCAAAGTATTCCCTACAATATCCTTATCGCACTCCTCGTCCGGAAACTTTCTCGCAACGTTTTCTCCATCGTAATCTGCATCACAATCGTAATCTGGCTCACAATCGTCTCCTTCGTTTCCTGTATATGATATTAAAATAATTTATTTTAACGATCTCTCTCTCTTCCCCTTTCGTTTGTTATACAAAATTTACCGATAAATTCCCAACTCGAATCCACGGCCCAGGATGTATCGTTGAATACCTTGACTCTAATCTTTGGTGGTTGCACGGGTTTTGCCCGAGGAATTTTTTTCACTTCCCTCGTACCAAGGCGTTTAGCTAAATTGTCGACGGACGACGATATCAATGGTGTCTTATCCTCTGTCTCTTCCGTCTCCTCCCAATCGATAGGATGTAATTGATTCGAATTATTGCCAACCGGTGTTTGTAGCCAGCCTGGTTCGCTATGACGATATTTATTTGTTGCTGGATTGTTCTTCGATCTTCTCCTTGGTATTATCGCTGCACTTTGACCGATCGCGTCAGCTGGTTCCGCGTAAAATGGACTACCTTGTTTCGATTCAGGTGTTAAAGGACTATTGCTTTCTGATTTGGCGAGTATCAATCCTAGTTTATTTCTTGGCGGTGTCACTGCATTAGGACTGTTTAGCGAATTGGCACTACCTGATAGAATAATATTTGTTAAAAGATTGCAAATAAAAAGAAAGCCCAAATATTAACGTTATATATACTCACAAACTCTAGAGAGTAAATCGGGCCTTCTTCCCATTCCTGTTTCTTCAGGTGATGTCTGTTCGGTATTTTTCATTTCAGGAACGGGTTTAAAACTACTGAATTCTGGACTAGTAACTTCCTTATAACCGAGTTTCTCATTTATAACCGATTTGTCATTTCTCAAAATGAACCTCTCGTTTCTTACGATCAACTGCTTGTTCCCCGTCAATCTTTCGTCTCTCTGATTGGGGCATCTCTCGATCGGACTAAATAATCTCTCTTGACCGATCAATCGATCGTTGGAATTTCTTAAACGATCCTGAGCATTACCGGGTGGCTCGTTACGTGTGAGTCTGTCGTTCGGTGACCAAGTAGAGTGATTCGATTGATCGGTTGTGTTCCAGATATCCTCGTAGTCTGAGATTTTATCACCTGGTGAGCTACGGTAATACGAATCAAGGATATCAGATTCTTGATAATGTTGGGAATTCTTCCTAGCTTCGCGATCACGTCGTCGTTTCGACTTGCTTGTGCTAGATGGTGTCGTGGGCGAAAGAACATTTGGTGTTTTGCTACCGACGTTGGAGACTAGTTTCGATGTGGGTGATAGCACTGGCATCGTTGGCGAAAGAGGTGATTTTATGGAAAAGTTCGATGTGAGAGACTTGTTGGATGTTGCGCTTTGCGGACTCAATAATGATGTGTTCGCTTCTGTCGGTGTATTTTGCTGGAGAAATAATTAAAATGAAATAAATAATTAAAAATAAATTGATATCATAGAGAAAATATATAAAATATATAAAAGTGACCAAAGTAAGATACCCAATTCCTTTTTCCTTTATTCCTTTTTCTTTTATAATTTTCTTAATGTTGATGTTAAAAAGTAATTTTTTAATGGCAAAAAATTCTCTGATTGATTATCTAAAAATCTGCCTTGATGGAATTCGTGTAAAAAAAATTACAATGAAAAACATTTTCTAATTAACGAAGAAGCGTCAAGAATAATGGTTTAAAAAAAGTGCTCCAAAGTCGAATTCCCTATTTTTTACATATTAAAATCCGGTCTTTCCGTCCATTGCTGAATAAAACTGTTTTTTTTTACGCGAAAAATTAGAACAGAGTTCAATTACGCAATAGAGTAATTTATTTAAACACAGATACATTTTAAAACATATTTAACAAATTAAGTATAATAAGGATAAATTTCTGAGTTTCGTTTGCAAAAATGGATCAAAGTTGTTTTAAGGACTTTGAACGTTTTAACAGCTTTATGTCATCCCATTTTATTTTCTTGCTGTTTCTATCGCCTTTGTCAATAAATGATGAAATTACAATCTTTCCTTTCTTTTATTATTTGCTATTATTTATAAGTTTAAAATTAACGAAAATAGTATGACCACGTCAAAATATTCGGTGAAATTAAGTTATATCAAAGAGAAAACACGTTGAAACAATTTAAAAAATCACAAAAATAGAAATCTATGCATAAATCATTCGAATGCTCAATTTCAATAAATGATCAACTGTGATTCCATAGTTTCATTGCGTTATTCTGAAGCAGTTGTCTTATTTATCAATAATTCGCAGCATTTATTTAACAATATAAGTAGTGGGTCTCACATAGGGTGAGAAGTCTGACTTTGGTCATTTTCCTCTATATTATTATTTATGAACACTCACCTGTGACACATTAACGTCGTTAGTTTGATTGACATTGAACGTAACGGTTGTGGTCACGGTAAAATTACTTTGATTTTGACTTAATCCAGGTTTTGCCCATCTTGGTGGTGGTGGCGGTGGAGTTTTGACGTTTTGCCCAACGATCTGACCATCAGCTATAATAGGTGAATTCGTGCATGAGGGATTATTGAAGCTGGAAATATTTTGATGGAAATTCGATGTCGACGTGCCGATGGAGGTAAACTTGCTACTTCTGGAAAACTCGACGATCGTCGTCTTCGGTGTTTCAAGGATGTTTCTCGTACTCTCGAAGTTTCCTTTAGTATCCTGAGTGGGACTAAGAACGTTGCTCTCGACGTTATGAACGATGGGTGATGGGCAACGTACGCTTTGCACCAAGTTCGGAGAGATCAATTTTTGCGACAGCTTCTCACACGGAGACATGACTTCGTGTTGATCTTTCTTTACGTCCAGTGGCTCATTAAAAGTTGTCAGATTAAGCGTATTCGGTGGCGTTGGTCTTGGCTGTCGTGGTAAGGATGAAGCAAACGTTGACGTCGTTCCTGTATTTGTTGGTGACGAATTTTCTATAAAAACAAAGAAATTACATGAATTATACAATATAATTTTCTAATCAATTGTTTTTCAATTAAAAATAATCAAATTATATATACATATGTATATATTATACATATATCACAAATAATACCGCAATTTTTAATCTATCTTATATCTTACGTGTATCGTGAGATGAAATAGGTGCAAGGTTAAGAACGATGCTTTCTGTCGTCGGAGTACCACCGTTGTTATTGTTGTTATTATGATTGTTGTTACCTGTAAGAATATAGATTATAACAAAACAAATGAATCATTATACAATGAATAAGAATATTTATTTGAGAGACTTACAACCATGGAAACTACTTAAACTCGATGTGTTACTACTACTGCTCTCCGGTGGTTTTGGATTCGCCATTGGATATCTCCAAAATTCTTGACCTAAAAGTGCTAGTGACGAAAGTTGTTGCCTATTCTTGGCTTCTCGCATTGCTCTCGGTAGCGTCAATTGCACTGGCAACTCATCACTACTTGCCAAACAAGAAACGGTGAGAATGAATTAATTATCTCGAGAAGAAGGCAACTTGTTTGATTCAATCTTTAGATAAATGAAAGAAAGAGAAAGAAGGAGAGAGAGAGAGAGAGAGAGAGAGAGAGAGAGAGAGAGAGAGAGAGAGAAAGAGAGAGAGAGAGAGAGAGAGAGAGAGAAAGAGAGAGAGAGAGAGAGAGAAAGAGAGAGAGAGAGAGAGAGAGAGAAAGAGAGAGAGAGAGAGAGAGAGAGAAAGAGAGAGAGAGAGAGAGAGACATATACGCAAAAAACATTCATACCGCGACAAATCTAGATTTATCTGAATTTAACATCGCAATAGATAAATAATTTCCTGTTTTTAGTTTATACACGTTGCCTATATACGATAAGGATCTACTTAATACAAGAGTATTTAATGAAAGGAAATAAACTCGATAAACAGCTACTCACCAGCACTGGGAATAATGAGCTATCAATGAGGGGATGTTGTCGAACCTGTTCTCACTTGTTTCCAAGCTCAACTTCCCCTTGTTGGCTTGGATCAGGTAGTGTTCGATGTAAGGTCCCTTCCCGGCTGGTAATCTCACCGAAAGGGCCATCGTGTCGCTTTGACTTGATTGTCGGACTACGAAGTTCTATGAAAAGAAAGGAAAGAAAAAAACAGGAATTGTACTAAAAGACGAGATAATCTTTCTTTTTTTGGAAAATAAGACCAACATATGCGAAGAGAATGAAGAAGAAGAAAATGAGGACACATCTTATTGATAATACGTTCAATATATATAATAGAATACATTTATTAAGAAAAAAAATAATAAAATGAACTAACAAAAAAAAAACGATAGACAAAAGAAGAAAAAATGTATAGCTAACTACTAGTAAAGTTACGGATGCATAAGCGAGAACCTTGATGCAGTGTCGAAAATGAAAAGAAATGAGGACGATGAGGAGAGTAGAGACAATGCATCACTGCGAGCTTTTCCCGTCAAAAAATGGCTGTCGGATGAGCGAATGCACAAAAGCAATGGGCTCGTAAGAGCGAGGGAGATGAAGTTACTCGCGGAAACCCAACAACGAGTAAGAGAAAGAAAAAGGGAGGTCTCGTTTCGTTCGTTCGGTCGGATGGTCGCTGGTGTGCCGATATAGCAGCATGAATGACGTTGTGTGAGTTCTTTTTTCATTTTCCACTTGGTGAGCAACGAAGCAAAACTTGAATGCTGTTGCTCCCTTTATTCTCATCTTTGTCTCTCTTATCTTTTTCTTCTGTATGTTCGATGCATATCCAAATGAATCTCGACTGTTTTTCATTTTCTCCCAATCTACTCGCCTCGTAGATTTTGAATTCCTATGCCTTTCTACTAGATTTCAACGTGTTACTGATTCGCGACATGACTATCTCTCTTCCTTCTTATCACTCTATTCTTTCATTTTCTTCGAAAACGAGGGATGCTCTCAACGTTCTATAGAGAGTAATTGCGAGAAGCATTGTTTTTCGAGCTATTTGCTCGTTCGTGTCCATCCATGGAAAAACGGTAAAGAGAGATAGAAGATGAGATGGTTGTGGATTGATGGTGAGGAAGCCTCGAGGCAAAGAAATGCAAGAGAACGAGCATAACAATTAACAGAGCTAGAAAATAATGAAAGGGACGGCTGGAAACAATGACAGCACAATGCCTCGTTTTGTTCGCAGTAGTTTTCAAAGTTGATTACAACGCCTCTTCTCTTCTTCTCTTGTCTCTAGGTATCGTGATCGCCATAGAGATCACTATCACCACCCACAACAAAATGACCGTCGACGTTTTAGGAACCTTGTCATCGTTTGCTAACATCGAATAATTCTTCGAGTTTCTACGCCAACGTTATCGTTTATTATATTCCTTTACCACGTTTTTCTGGACTAAACGTTGACGCGAACGTTGACGATAATCAACAGAAAGAAAGAGACAGACTTTCCTTTGAGTCGAACCTTATCATTTCGACTGATTTCTCATACCAAGGATTTCCTATGGTTCTTTTTTTGCGCCTTTAGTAAATAACAATGTCCTTTATGCATGTTCATTTACAAACAGCCGAATATATATTTAATAACAAAATATTTTAATAACAAAATAAAAGATCTTGAAATGTTGATATATATACAGAATAATATACATTTCTATTGAGATTTATCTTCGGTAATTTTTTGATTGATTCTCGGTTATAATTAAGACGGGACCGTAGTTAGAAAGATTTTATTTAAAAATGCCACACGTATGTTAACGATTTTCAATGAAGAATTCGCACGCTTTGGCACGAGGTGCTTTCACAATGATTACGAGAGCTCTCTCAAGGCATTGACACGATTTTCCATCTGGTACCACTTGGCTCTGTTCCTATTCTTCTTCTTCGTTTTCTTCCTCTCACTTTTCCTCACATCGGAGTATTAGATAAGATTCTGCGCTCGCACGGATGCACTCATTGTTCTACCTCCCTCCTTTTCCTCCCAACTTCTCTTTTCAACGCTCGATACGAACGGAAATAGAGAGAAATATCAAGGCTGAGACGACGGATGGAATAATGATGGATAATCGCATATCAAAACGATGTAGTTTTCTCTTTGTCGAGACGTGAAAATTATTAAAAGATCTATATTTTTATAAATATCAGTGAAAGAGTGTTCGAAATATTTCAAGAAATGAAAGGTATATTTCGTTTTAAATTTATTTAACATTAATTAGACTCTAGCTAATGTACTAACAATATGATTATAATAAAAAGAACAGAAAGGAAACGAAAAGAATGATAAGATATCAGTCCTTTTAATAATCGAATATTTGATTTGATCAAATATATGGACCCTTCGAAGAATAACGTTCTCAATGGTTTACGTAGATAAAAGTTGGATTTCATTTGGAGAAGACTCAAAGTAGAGTGTGAGAGAGAGAGAGAGAGAGAGAGAGAGAGAGAGAGAGAGAGAGAGAGAAAGAGAGAAAGAGAGAGGTAGAGAAAGAGATAGGGTCAGTATTTCGATGGTACCACATTTGGCATTTACGTTTACTGCATATTAAAACGGCACACAGTGCTTGCCAAATTGCCACAAACAATGAAATGTATCATCCTGCCTTTGTTTGAATAAGCAACAAGAGGGAATTACGATTTCCGGATACCAAATATGTGTTTCCCTGATAATCGTCGGATAATTTTCCCCATTTAAATGTCTTCCGGCGGATACAGGCAGATACTGATTTCTCCGTAGAATTTTCGTGAAATGAGTTTTCAAGTTACTACTAGTATGCTATGGCATAGTGTAAAGTACACTTTATTCTAATAGTCTTCTCCCGTGAATCCATAAATTTGCGGTGGACGATTTACACAAATGCGCACGCGCATTTTATTCACTAAAAATACCATCTCTTTATAATTTCTCATTCTCATTCTTCAATTCGAAATCCACAATCATGTTTAATCAAAGTAACTGTCAGAGAAATAAATTTGGTTACACGGGAAGGCAAAATGAAAATAACAGAAAATGTCTTGCAATGCGATACAGAATTGTTTGTTGTTTCGGGGAAGGCATTTTCTTGTGTAACGTCCTTGTGAGGCGAAAATTATGTGATCATTCTATATTTGAGATCTGAAAGAAGAAACTTCTAAATGACTTTCGTACATGCAGCTTTCTCCTGCTTCGTCGGATAAAAGTCAACGGCAAAATAAACGGGTAGTAAATCAAAGTGCAACCGTAACTTTTCGCACACTCCATAGAAAAGACGGATCTTTCGCAAATGTTTCGAAGGTCCTTCGTATTCCGAATGTTCCGGACACGTGTTGAACGTAATAAATATTATCGGTTAATTGTCCATGACTTGAGTACGGCCCGTGAGAAATGTGCCGGCGGGAGTTCAGTAGATTTTTTACGACCCTACACCAGGGGCAAACCTTCAGTTGAAAGAACCGATTAGAAACAGTGTACCGTAGAAAATCGTTTCAATAAGTAAGAATTTCTAGAAACGATAAATAAGGAATCATTAAAGGAGTCTTTATGTCTTCTTTCATAGAACCGATAGCCTCCAATGAGATCTTAGTTAGATAAAAATATAGGAAAAAAGAAAAAGAATAGAAACTGATCATCAAGGATATTCTTTTTTCGAATATCATGCTTCGCCGACGATACAATCGTAAAGAAAATAAGAGAGCACGGAAGAAAAATAATGTTTTACTTTTATTTTCTCTTTTGCTGATATAACCGAAGACAATGTCCATGCTTTCGCACATGAAAGCGATAAGATTAATGATTCACAATCTGTACCGAGCAACGTAATTTTCTTACGGCTAATTGATTCTCTTAAGTAAGTAATTATACTCACCCCTTCCTCCTTTCCTTGCAACAAGTGGAAAGCGCCAGCTCTTTGAATACCCGGGAGGAACCAAATCGGATGGGATCGTATGAGTCTTTCGATCAGCGTTATGTCACATGCCACCTCGCTGCCAGAATCTTCCGTGGTGCCTGAAGATCCTCCCGAGGTGGCCGAGCCTTCCGAAGAAAGCGACTCTTCGCTCTGAAAATTACCAAAATATACAAATTACTTTATGAGTGATACTTAATAAATTGGTTAACAATAAAAGCTTATCTTTAGAAATAATCAATTCTTTTACGACAGCCATCGACTCATAATTTCTTGAAAATTTTGTGGTACGTTAACCGAAACGAATATGGAAATCTCCGTCGTCGTTGTCGTCGTTGGTGGAACGATTTCGGGAGGGTACCCCTTGCAAATCCTTCCTGGCTCGTCATAAAGCGGGTGGATTTAATGCGGCGTTATGTCGTCGAGAGAAAGAGTAGAGATAAGGATGGGAGGAGGGTGGAGGGTTATCTCAATTTGCAGCCGATGTCGTTTTACGATTTACCTAGTTACCCTTTAATCGTTTTATCTAATCCCGACCTGTTACGATCTTTTCATCGAAAAAGAAACGAACAAAAGAAATAAAGAAAGAAAAAAGAAATAAGAGGGAGCTAAGAGAATAAAACGTTTTCATTGTGAAAAAGATTAGCCATTCAAAAGGGCTGAACATTCGATTCTTTCTTCATTCGTAAACTCCTTCCAGTTTTTTCTTCCACTATTCAACCTTTAATTATCATTGATTTGAACATGTACGTAACGATAATCGATCGATTTCCCCGTTGGTATCCCCTACTTTCTCTTTCCTTGTTTCTCTTTCTCAATGTCGAACACTTTTTTCACTAATTCGTCAAAACTGACATCGTATTGAAGTTATCGTGAACGAATGTCGCAAAATCGAGCACCTATCGACTTGCCGTTACTTTTACCCCTCATTTTGAAGCATTTCTTTTTCGTACAACGTTCTTTTAGAAAATGAAAGGAAAGGGAAATCAATTCTGCCCAACTGAACTTTATAGCTAAGTTCATCGAATAAAATTCGTTTTATTTAATTTACTATATTCATTATTAATTTTTTCGACAATATACATTTTAATTTTAACAAGCAAATCTGTCAGAATAAGTAGTTTAAAAAATTTTTTTTTACATTTATTAACATTATAATTATTCAACTAAAAATTATTTTTCTTAATTATTATTTTATAATATAATGTAGATTAAAAAAATAACATACATACATATATATATATATATATATATACACATCTATGACAGGTAGATTGAAGGATGTAAGAAAAATAGGTCTCTAGTCATATTAGTAATATAATAAAACATCGAGTTTCTTAAATTTAAAAATGATAAAGATGCTCAAGGTCTTTTATCACTTAATCTCGTATTCCCTTTCCTAAAGAAAGATTTGAATAAAGAGAAAATCATAAAAGAATTTAACATCGACATCTGCGAGATGGATGTATCTCTCCTTAAGAATCTACTCCGACGAGCGACGCGTCTAAAAGATATGCTCGCTACGAGACAAGAGTCTCGCGCAGAGAACTTTTTCCGACGAGCAATTAAAGGATTTGCAATTAGCTTCGGGGCCTCTCAGCACGTGCCTCACGTCCACGTTTAATCCCTTTAGTCTGAAATGCCGTTGTGTGTCAGTCTGCATTTCAAATTAAATTACACTCGAAAAGCCCGCACGCACCGAATCCACCCCTACAGTTCGACCCTCTCTGTCTGTCTTTACCATATCCCTTCCCTATCTACTCTTTCACTTTCCTGAGTCCCGTATCTATTCTTCCTTCTCGTTATTCCGATTGATTGATACTTTAACGATTTTCTTACTAAATCTTCGATATTTTTCTCTGATGTAATATCTTTTTGTTGTTTTTGTTTTCATCCGTCTCATTGATGGATGATTCGTTTATATTTTTATGCTTTCAATTTGATCCGCTCTGTTGATCAAGGTACGGTCTCAATTTGAGCTAAAGCGGAAATTCGTGAAACGATATCGAGGAGAGTTTAAGAGGGATTCAAAAGGATTAAAAAAATTTCGAACTTCGAGTTCGATTAAATTGGAAAACGGAAAAGAATCTCTTTTTCTTTCTTACCTGTCCATGATGTAACTGCGCAAGTTGATGATGCTGGAGCGGATTCGGTGGTGGCGTGCTCGGCGAGCTGACAACCTGAACGGTCCCGTGCTGTTGCAGATACGGTTCCAAGAAGACATCGCTT